GTCTTCGATCCAGAGCACAATGTATGAAGCTACAAAGATGATTACATCATGAAAAGCTGTAATCACCATGATAGTTAACATATGTGAACAATGTAACTGTAATTAAGCCAAAACATTTTTTTTTACGACTTACCAGTCAGATGCAGCACAAACATAACAAAGCAAACCCATGAAACATTTCCTGAAAAGTCTGATCTGATGAAATGATCTGTCGAAAGCACTTGAGCTGTGGTGTGAATCCTCCCACAACAGTTTTACCCACGTAGACTCTTTACAGGCTCTTTACAAATGATTTATAGTTAAATATACATTTTTATTTAGACTTAATAGTCGAACATATTTTTCATTCCATTATTTAACGCAGAACTTTTTCAAAACTCATCAAACAGTTAATACTATCTTCCATCTCACATTGTTGCTTTTCCAGCTCATCTTCTGCAAAACTGCAATCTCTGGCTGCATCAACCTGCGGTTTTCATCAGATGTGGTTTGACCTGAACGATCATCTTGTGTTGTAGGTGAAGAGTTTCTTCCTGTCTTTTTATGAACATCAAAACAGCTTTAAAGTCCAATAAATTACTGTATCCATTTAAAAGTCTAATCTGAGTGAAAAAGTTCAATAATACACCACTTAAACATTGTCCTGGCTGATAGCTATAAGCAGTTAAAGACAGAGCGAGACAATGTTGAAACATTGTGTTAAAATCCAAAGACATTTTCAACAAAAGTACTAAAAAATAGGTTGAAAAAAAAGACATGATTTTAATGGCAATGACAGAATTAATAATAACAAACATGAACGTACACAAATGCTTGGTCCAAACTCTTGCACAGCTTTCCCTGGCTGTCATTTCATCTTCTAAATCAGTTTTCACTGTTCACTGAAGTACCTCTCTCTGTGTTTCTGGTGTTCATCTTTCCTGCTGCAGTTGGCATCTCAGATACTAGTGACAGTAAGTTATTTACAAGGTGTACCAGCTTTCATTGCAGAGTATCAAGTCTTGATGCATCATCAAGTGCTTCATCTCCATACCGGCGAGATGAATCCGATCTTCAAGCAGAAGCAACGGGATGAAATGTTCTGAATGCTACCAATCCACAATCTGACCTGTGATGTAGTTTGAATCATATTTGTTTAGTGTTTGTTTGCTGGCCAGAAGAGAACTGGACACCTGACCAAGGTTGTCTTTTTCCACGACAGTTTGAGCTGAACAACACCCAAAATGCAGAATGTTCCTCTTATCACTGTAAAGTTACTTCGAAACATTATAGAAAGTGTTCTTCTAGACCACTTCTTGGTTGCATACGTTTGAGCATACCTGGTAAAGTGGTTGACTAGCTAAAACCAGTATGTATTGAAAAACACATTTACTTTATTCCAAGTAAAATATTTTCTATCTATAGAAACAAGTTCAAGGGATAAAGCAGTTATTCTTCTTATTGGAGCCCTTTCAAGGGTGTTCACGCTTTTGTCTTTGACTAACAGGACCACAACAGACCAACAACAAACACTTGACTCTGTCATTTACCAGGACCTGTAACATTTGTATTTATTTATTTAGAAGTGATATTAACATAGCCCTGATGTTAAAAACAAGAAATCAAAAGCTTTATTGCAGCCAGAATGTGTAGTTACAAATTCTACAGGTGCTAATAGGATTAGAAAAGATTGTAAATGATGATATTTTTTTCTTCACCTGAGCTTTGCCTTTCTGAGCTACAGGTTAAAATGTCATTAGGCTCAATCGCACTATAAATACAGGTGTACGCATAACTTTGTTTGACAGGCAGTATAACTAATTTAGTTTATCTGAAAAGTAACAGCAGTCTGTCATTCTCTCTGCCATGTCTGTGTCAGAGAAAGCCTATATTGGACATTTTTCACATTTCCAGGGTTCTCACGTCTTCATTTTAAGGTAAACTTCTATAGCAGTGAATGGGAGCCAAAAAAAATAAATTCTGAGTTTGCATTTTTCTTTAGCGAAAGATTGATTACAGCAGTTAAAAGAGAGAAAGATACACGGTCAAATTAGCCCTCACCCTCTCAGGCGTTGTATGCAAAACTCCCTCGCAACAGCCTTGGCTTTTTTTAATTTAATTTCAAGAAGTTAATTTAAGTTTAAGTTAATTTAGCAAAAAGTATAACAAATGCATATAGCATTTAAAAAAAAATTAAAATATTGAAACCTTTTAGATATGTGATACTGATAACTGTGGGAACACATCATTATAGTCTGTATATAAATCTGTCCATTATGTTTAAATTCAATATTAATAATAATTGTTCTCCTCGGTTGGATATTACATGTTTTACTTTATCCCCTGATTCCACAGACGTGGCTTAAGCTAGTCCCAGACTAAACTGCATGTTTGAGCTGTCTTAACTGAAAATAACTTGCACTGACATCTTAAAATATATCTGTGCCATTGTCTCAAGGTGCACACCAGTAATTTTTATAAAAGCTGTTTGAATATCCTAGTTTAACTATAAGGCCTAATCCTGGCTTAATCTTAGTCTGTGAAACTGGGCCTAAATGTAATGTATGAATTTTATTTCCACTGTTCTCTGTTCTCACATTACTGTTACATGACATGTAGTCTAAAAATCCCTTCTTCTTTTTTCTGGCCTTGTTATATTATTAAAATAATAAACAATGATTTAAAACTTAACAGCAGTCTTCAAAATTCTTTAAGGGTAATAAACTCGAGACTGGGGTCAGGAATAATTCACTAGATACTCGTTCTATTGTCTGACAAAAACCGTAGGAAATTAAAACAGCTTTATTGGACATTCGGCTATATTATATTAAAATACAGTATGTGAGCATGAATTTAGAAAGAAAACAGTAGGTAGGCAGAACGCAAATACGACGCGATGACATCATGACTTTGCTAATTTACGTATGACGTCATCTAACGACTTATAGGGAAGGCGTCAGCTACTTTTCTTTGAAAATAGTTGGCAACACTGTAGAGCTAGCCTATGCATATTAGCGAATGACGTCCACTTACTTTCACTTTCGAATTCGGCCATTAAAACAGAACAACAACACTAATGAATAAGATCAGAAAATGAAGCTTTTCTTTAACGTACTCTCAGTGATTTTGTTTTTACTCGACCACAGTAAGACCTTTTTTTTTGTTAACGTCTATTTCCGCATCTTTGGCACTAGTGATTGCTGGATAGGCTTAGGCCTATTGTTGACAGGAAATAGTTAGGCTGAAAAGAGAACCTAACTGACTTAAATCGATGGTCGGTGAAACACTTTTTAACGATAAAAACAACGCTAACGCAGTTGAAACGAGATCAGATCGGCTGCGCGATGTGTCGTTTTAAAAAAAATAAACATTAACATTTTTCATGTAGCTTGGATATAATGCGAGTCGCTTTGGTTAAAAGCTTCTGCCAAATTCTTAAAATTTAAACAAAAATGTTGCCTTACACTATTCACGTGGGTTGTTTCGGACTAAATATATTTATAAAATGTAGAAAATACCGCACTGTTTTATCTGAGTGTTAATGTATTAGCCTATAACTAACATGAACTAACCATGAGCAATCCATTTGTTACTGTATTTGTTAACGTCAGTTAATAAAAATTAGTTAGTTAGTTCACATTGCATTAACTAATTTTAACAATATTTTATTGAGTCTATGAAAATGTTTGATTAATTGCATTCGCAATTACTCTGTGCCGGGGTGTAAATGTGAATCAGGATGTGGATTGTGGGATGTGTCTTAAGATGTATTTTTGCATGTTTGTTTGCATGTTTAAAATGATGAATCCAGATTTTTTTTTTTTTTAATCACATTTATGATCTGTAGAAAAAAATCACTGCACTATTGTATGTTTTGCTCAGGTGTGTCTGGTGTTGCATCAGATGCAGTGTCAGCGATGGAGGGAGATTCAGTCACTCTAAACACTGGTGTTCAAACAAACCAACAAGAATATATTAAATGGTATTTTAGCAACATTCGCATTGCACAAATCAGTGGAGATCTGAGTAAAGCCTGTACAGATGTTCAGTGTAATGAAGGCACTGAGAGATTCAGAGACAGACTGAAGCTGGATCATCAGACTGGATCTCTGACCATCACAAACACCACAAACACAGACTCTGGAGAATATAAACTAAAGGTCTTCAGCAGCAGGAACAGTGAAAAGATCTACATTGTTTCCGTCACTGGTGAGTCATTTAATGAGTGTTTAAATGCAGTTTATATTTTATAAGTTATATGTTTAAAACACATGTTAATACAAGATCCTCCAACATCTGTTGTTTTGTGTTTCAGATGTTTCTGCTGCTGAACTATATAAAGTGAAGGAGGGAGAATCTGTCACTTTAGATTCTGATTTTATAAAACACACAAATGATTTGATCACTTGGTATTTAAATGACATTGTCATCGCTGAAATCACTGGAGATCAGAGTAAGATCTGTACAGATGTTCAGTGTAAAGAGAGATTCAGAGACAGACTGAAGCTGGATATTCAGACTGGATCTCTGACCATCACACACACCAGAAACACAGACTCTGGAGAATATAAACTACAGATCATCAACAACAGCAGCTTCAGCATCAGCAGAGTGAAGAGATTCAGTGTTTCTGTCATTGGTGAGTATAATTGTCATTCAGTGTATTTTTCTTTGAGGAATCTGAAAATCATTTCAATATTTTAAATCTACCCAATAAGTGTTGGGTTTTGGACTGTTTAAAAAAGTAAGTTTTGAGTCAGTGACACTGGCTAATGTTATTAACATGCAAAATGCATAATATCAGCCAGTTTTCCTGTGAGTGCTGCTGCTTCTAGTTTAGCTCAAAGTGCTGATGCTTTTCAACTGTTTGAACAAAAGTCGCATTTATCAGTTAAAACAATGTCATACTCCTGATGACAGAAGTAGAAAGGTGTAATTATTAGTGAAAGATATTGGTAAATATTGGATGTGTTATAAATCACTTTCTAGTAACAATGTCTGTTTTTCTGTAAATGTTCCAGATTCAGGTCTGTCTCCAGGAGCTGTAGCAGGAATAGTTGTTGCTGTTGTTCTGCTGGTGTGTGCTGCTGCTATTGCTGTGGTTTACTGTCGCCACAACAAGAGCCATGCAGAAGTACCACAGAGTGTAAGTATTGCAGATATGAGATTTACTGTGCACAAAAACCTTTTAAATAACAGTGGTGTGAATACATATAACAAACATAGCGATACACAAATACATTACACTGCTGTTCAAAAGTTTGGGATTGGTAAGTTTTTGAAAAAAAGTCTCTTATGCTCACCAAGACTGCATTTAAAAATACATCAACATCAACAAACAAAACAAAAAACACTAATGTTAAATATTATGACAATTTAAAATAACTTTAATATATATACTTTGAATATATTTTAAAATGTAATTTATTTCTGTGATTTTTATTTTATTTTATTGTTTACATGTATAACAGCAAATACATACAGTTACAACTCAAAACATAGTTAAACAACAATAATAGAATTATAAACAGTAGACAAAAAGCCAATAAAATAAACAGACACAAAAAAACATTGAGCCAGGGGTATCATATAATTTAAAATAAATAAAATTCAAGAGAGAGAAAGAGAGAAATGCATTGAGTCCCCCTTTTATTGTTTTCATTATAAAAAAAGCATAAATATTATACTTTGTGCACAACGTAACCGACTTTAAAGCTTTGACATTGCTGGAAGAAGAGATAGTACCTTAAAGGGGTCATATAATGGTACATGCACTTTTACAAGTTGATTGTACTGAAATGTGTGTTGGCAGTGCCTGTACATTATATGTTTTCCCATCTCAAATTGAGCCGTTCGATTTTGTGACGTCACACGGTCAGACGCCCCTCCCATGATTGTTGATTGACAGCAGCGTTTCAACACAGACCCGCCCTGAGCAATGATTTATCATCATAGTTCGTCATTGTTGATACACTGGAGCAGAATGGCGTCTAAGCGATTGTGGTGTTCTGTTCTTTGGTGTAATAACGAACATAGTCATTTTAATGTTCCTAAATCCGAACCGCTGAAGACACAGTGGCTGAGTTTGTTTTCGAAGGGAATATTCCCCACGAGCAACGTCAATACTTTCGTGTTTGCGCAAATCATTTCTCACCAGACAGCTTTATAAACGAGGGTCAGTATAAAGCTGGTTTTGCTAAGAAGCTGCTCCTGAAAAAAGAATCGGTACCAACTATTCGTGTCCCTGCTGCACCTCCAGAAGAAGTGAGTGTAAAGTTTTATTAACCTTTATATTAATCTTTGCAAATCGCTTGCACGCTTCACAATGAATGCGTCTAAGGTTTACACTCAGGGTACATTACGGCATGTTTTCTATGTACCTCGTTCTCAATATAATTCATAATTACATGAACAACGCGTTATGGTTATTGTGTTATTACAAACTGTGTACACATAGCGTTCGTATTTCACTACTCTACCCTGCCAGTACGTTACATACAAAGATAGATCAAAGTGACATTACGTTAACCAACCATTCAGAAACCTGTTCGAGCCTTATTTGACCTATGGCTAAGCCACGCCCCCAAACGCGATGAGCCAATCACAGTGCGCATAGCTAACCCAATACACTCGGACATTCTCTGCTTCCACATCCATTGAAATGCATTGCAGTTAGTCAGTTTTCATTCGTTTTTATATGTTTTTTCTTGTCATTTTAAGTTTAAAATGGTCAAACGGTGTGCATGTGGTACATGCAACTCTGACACTCGGTATCCCGAGAGGCTGGGCGACGGTGTGTATTTCTTACCCTTTCCCAAGCCACATCTCAACCGAGATAAGTGTCTGCTCTGGATACAGATGCGGTAGACCACAACACCAACTAAACGTGGATAAATTAAACAAGAATTATACAAGGATGTGTACATCTGTTCTAAGTCAACAACGTATTTGAACGTTATCTTTAACATCTCTAACGTAACGTTATCTTTAACATCTCTAACGTAACGTTAGGCTAACGTTAGCCTAACATTAGAAAATGTTGACGTTAGCTTCTAGCTGCGTTGTACATCATGTCACTTAGCTTCATTAACGTATCTGTAAATAACCGAGATAACAAATGTTAGCAATGTTGTGCTGAAAGATTAATGTAAATACTGCAGTGCATGCAGGGCCGGCTTTGCCGACAGGCGACACAGGCGGGCGCCATCTGCTGGACGGGGCGCAAAATTGCAGAATTAAAAAAAAAAAATTAATTAAAAGTATGTATCGTATTATGAAAGCTGCGCACACGCTGTACACTTTTACTGTGCACTGTCCACACACTGCATGTTTTTGTCCATTTCTTTTACTAGATTATACAATCCTAAAAAATGACTGAGTCACTCTGACAGGCAGCTGTCAAACTCACGCGCGTTGCTCAGCAACCGGGAGTGGCGCGAAAACATCTGACAGATGGTTTTAGCGCTTCAAATGCGCTTTAAACGCCCCTTGGCGGTTGTAGGCTATAAATGATCATATATTATATAATCTTTTATTATGAAAAGAACACCCAAGCCATCCGGATCGGCTTTCCGAAAACGAAGGAAGTAGGAGGAAGAAAAACGGGCCCAAAGCAGAGGACTAAATCATCAAGCTCACAGCCAGTGGTTAAATTGGGCCGGGGCTCTCCGGGGCCGGCACATAAGCCTGCCAGTGGCGCAAAAAGTGGGTATACCGGTATGTGTAGCGGAGTAGGCGCCCTCATAAGATTTATGAGGAGTAGGCGCCCTCAAAAACATGGATAAAGCAAAAAAGTGGCCGGGGGCTAAAATAGAAATAGCCCATTTGTTTTGTTTTGTTTTGTTTTGCTTAATCGGCGGCGCTGGGTTAGTGCTGGTGTAATGCATTGGTAAAAAAAAAGTCAGCGCAAAAATCAATCTCGCCTAGGGCAACCAAAGGGCTAGAGCCGGCCCTGAGTGCATGAACAATGCTGATCCTCTATCTTGTTGTCTGAGATGGTGATGGCAACGAGATGCGGTCTATCATATAACCCTATAACCCACATATAACCCTATAACTATCATATAACCCTCTAATAAATAGTTGCCTGGAGCTGAAGCTTTTCATCGAGCTTCTCAACAGTAAATTTATTAATATAACCCTCTAATAAATAGTTAAGGCCCTTTTGGTGACTTCAAAATGATATATAATCTTTCTGTCTCCAAAAATCATCAATTGCCTCCTGTGAAATGTCTCCTACTGTGACAGCTGCTGTAGCGCCTGTCACCGAATGTTGACTGTTTGTCCGAGTGAGTGGAGGGGGCGTGGCTTAGCCATAGGTCAATTGTCGAACTTCTTTCCGGCCGTCATCTTATTCCGGGTCCGACTCCATTTCAAACTGATAGAGTTGTAAAGATATGAGTAGAAGTTTGCACAAAATGTGTCGATTGATTAGAAATAACCGTACCGTTTAAATTTGAAGAGTTAATAGTTACATTTCTAGAATTATTATTCTATTATTATTACTATTATTCTATTAATTATTCTGAAGAAATATGCTTTACTTTGCTCTCCTTGCTCTAGCCATCTTCATCTAGAGCGAATAAAAGTGTCAGTACAGTAGACACCGAGTCTAACTGAGTTTGAGATCAGTAAATTCTGCCAATTCAGCTTCACACAAACCATCCTGCGTTTTACCAGAGAGAGAGAGAGAGACATTATTTTGGAAATGACAGTCTTACGAAGACTGATTTTATCAGTTTAATGCATCCTTGCTGGATAAAAGTATTGATTTATTATACATCTTTGATCATAGGAATAAATTACATTTTAAAATATTTTCCTACAGAAAACAGTTATTTTATATTGTAATAATATTTCACAATATTACAGTTTGTTTGTTGTATTTTTAATCAAATAAATGCAGCCTTGGTGAGCATAAGAGACATTAATCCAAAACTTTTGAATGGCTATCTATCTATCTATCTATCTATCTATCTATCTATCTATCTATCTATCTATCTATCTATCTATCTATCTATCTATCTATCTATCTATCTATCTATCTATCTATACAACATACATACTGATCTTACATCACAGACACTGTAGTTTATTGCTTTGTTCACATATGATGTCCTCATGCTCCTGGCATCTTTACAAAGCTTTTTTTTTCTTTCTTTTTTTTTACAAAATTATCTTTAATATATAGTATCCTGAAAAAGGGATATTTATGGTTTTACCGAGTTTTTTGTTGTTGTGTTTGTGTGTTCGTGTAACTGAAACATCAATCCTCCTCATTACTTTTACCTTTTGTGAATTTGTATTTTCTTACAGGAGAATGATGACTTGTGAAAGCTCGCCACACATCTCGAAACACATTCCTCTGAGGAAGAAGACGTCCTTGAATCAGACTCAGGCCGAGGCTGCCAGGAAAACAATGTTATATAATGAAGTATAATGTTGATATTATGATTGAAGTGGACACTGAAGAGAATTAGGACATGATGAAGAGAAACGGGTCAGGTGAAACTCTAATTTTGTTGCTGTTACTGGAAAAGTCACTATATTGCTAATGTTTATGGTTTAACCAGTAGCACTAACCCTGGTGGCCTGTTGCATGAGACTAGTTGAACAAACTCTGGGTTTTCAAAATAATGAAAAGTTCTTGATTTATTGTTTGTCCCTCGAGAATGTTACAGCGTCATTTCTCCGTGTGTATATAGATATTTACTATAATAACTACAAATGGACTGTTTTAAAGTTCCCATGTAGTCCATAATTGTATCTCTTAAAACTCATCTTTCATCACCAAAATGACATTTAAAAGCCTCCACTCACTCACTCACTCACTCACTCACTCACTCACTCACTCAGCTCAGAGATTCACTCGTTGACGATCACACACGTTGATCTGATTGGTTAGGTAGTTTGTGATGTCAGAAACATCAGTGATTTCAAACCATGTTTTTGAGTCTTTGGTTCACCGCAGTTTAAGGAGAAAATACTCAGCAATGCTGTCGACTAATGAAAACACAACATAGACAAACAACAAAAAACATTAAAATCTGGATTTTACCTGGTCAAAAACAGCTCTGTTTTCACCACGCCGTTTCAGTGCATATGACTTTAAATTATATTTTAAAGTCTACACTTGCTTCCCTGGCCTAGGAGGCCACGCCTACCGGTAACAGAGCGCAGTAGTTAAACAACAAGTCTAGGCTACTAGTGAGTCTCTGTGATGAGTCTGCCCAGGATTTCGAGATCGCCCAACATGTCCGGGATTCGGCTTTTGCGTTCTACAGTCGCCATTCATCATGTTTACTGTGGCGAGCAGGATGAGTGAGGGCCGCGGGAGGACGGCGCGAGGCCGGTGGCGTGATTACCGATGAGTGACACCTGTGAGACGCATGGGCCTCGTATCTCTCACGGAGGAGCGGGAGTTTTCTTAGCAATGTTAAAACGCACATCAACCGATCACTTGTTTAGCGTTCATGTAAACACTACATTCAGATTCACCAATCGGAATGAATTCAGTTAGATTGAAACAAAAGGTGTGCATGTAAACAATGAATGGTGACTGCAGAAAGCAAAAGCTGAATCCCGGACATCGACGGCCGGACATGTCCGGGAAAAAGAGGATGGTAACCCCTACTACTCAGCTTTCTCCACAGAACAAGAGCCTGTTAGCTTAGCTTCCAAAAAAGATGGCCGACACTGTGTGTACATTCTGTGTGAGTGAGATCCCACCCTCTATGGGCGGGTTGAGAACATGCGGGACAGCCCCTACTACTGGCTGTAGTCTTTAGCCTCTGGCCAAAAAATCCTCCGATGACGCAAAATGACGATTTTTGCGTCATCGGAGGATTTTTTTCCAGACAAAAAATACATAAATCTCTCGTCTCAGGGGGATATGAGGGTGGAAAGCATGGTAATTCAAAAATACTACAGGTTTTCTACTAATACAAAGCTTAAAGGTACAATACCTAAGATTTTATGCCGCTAGAGGGCGCTACATTCAAAACAACAACAACGGCTTTGCTTGATGACGACGTGAAGGAGCGTGGAATGATGGGAACTGTTGTTTTCAAGTCCACCGTGGATAAATCAGTCAGGCCCTGTCCCAAATGGCACACTTCATATGCACTTTCGGTCTTGTGGACTTACAATGGCTGCCGCGTGCGCGTGTCTGTTAAGTCCGTGAGACCGTAGTGTGTCCCATTTGTCATTTTTAGATCTCAGAAGGGTGCTCGCGAGCGCCCCCTCTGCGGTCGATTTGCGCCCTTGATGCGCACTTTTGCCGAGCCCGCGCTGATGCGGACTCCACAGCAGACTTCTTCCCGACATTCAAAGCGGCGTTACGTTGCGAAAGTGCGGACTCAGAGGAAGACCGCGAGTGCTTAGGGTTCCATTTGGGACAGGGCATCAGACGGGAACTGAAAACAACTTCCGCATTTGTCCAGGACTCCACGCAGTACGAGCGGAAACCGAGGGTAACGCGGATATGACGCGATTGACTGCACTGAAAACCCTAATAAGTTGATTGTACTCAATTGATTTGAGTAAACTCGTTCCCTCAATTTAATTGAGTAATGGGGTTTCCCAAAACGTGCTTATTTAAGTTTACTTAACTTGGTGCTTATGTAGACTTGACTTAAATTGTTTAGTTCACCAAACTTGACGATTATTGAATGTACTTAAACAATAAAGTTCATTTAACTTAGTGTTAATTTCAAGTGTACTTGTATATTTAAGTAAACTCAACATGAAAATTTAACTGAAATTAGAATTTAATTCTAAATTTAAAAGTTATTATTTTTGACAGTAAGCTTTGTGCACACTGCACTTTAATAAAACAATGAACAACATATTGATCCTTTGAGTCTTTATTGACCAAAATGTGAAATGGAAATGAGTCACACCATGTACATAACTCTAAAGGTGGCAACAATGTCCAACATTAAGTAGTGCACTACATCAATTGTACAACTCTGATCACTTAAACATTACACTGTCTCACATTGTGTTAATGTACTGAACATGTAAACGTAATGTATACATTCTTTTTAAATTTAAACATTTGGATGAAATCAAACGTTGGATGGATGAAATCAAACATGTTGGCAAGTGATTTTGGGTAATTCAGTTCTAGAGCGTAGATCAGACCGAAGAGGAGACACATAGCCTGTGGGAGGTCCTGCATTTATTCCATCACCACTTGACCTTCAAGTATTATTCCAATCGTAGAAGTTAAATGCAAGGAATTGGGGGGCTGGAGTTCAGTGTCCTCAAATAAGATGCCCACTGGCACATCAAGGATGGAGTTGCGATGATCAGACACCTAGTGAAAAAACAGGCAAAAATAGAGTATTGCGATCAGGAATCAAATGTTTATCAATACATGTTTATCAGAACGTGCACTAGATTTATTAAAAACACAAAGCACTAACCCTAATCCCAATTTATATGGACAAGTATGCATTTGACTTTATGAAAATTCCAGCAAAGACAATACTTTTTTATTTATAAGTATGCAGTATAAATGACAATTAATTAATTTGAAGACTTGACCACATTTGTATTTTTAAGGAATAGTTCACCCAAACATGAAAATGCACTCACTCTCAGGCCATTCAATATATAGGAGGAGTTTTTTTATTATTTCATCTGAAAAGAGTTGGAGAACTGTAGCATCACATCACTTGCTCACAAATTGATCCTCTGTAGTGAACGGGTGTTGTAAGTAAGAGTCCAAAGAGGGAACGTGTGGATTATTGTGATGTTTTTATCAGCTGTTTGAACGAGTTTGAGCACCTGTTCGCTAAAGAGGATCAATTTGTGAGCAAGTGATGTAATGCTAAAGTTCTCTAAATCTTTTCAGACGAAGAAACAAACTCATCTTCACCTTGAATAGTTTGAAGGTGAGAATATTTTCTGCAAATTTCCATTTTTGGGTAAACTATTGCTTTAAAATCAACATGATTTTCAAATGCTTGACAAATGCTTAGACTAATGAGAGCACAGGTGGTTCTTATAATGTAAACAGGTTAAGAACAGATGAACTTACTTTTCAACATGACTTGAAGAAAGAGGAGTCATCATCTCCAAGCATGATAGGTAGTCCTCGAATCACAAGGGTTCGGACCTCCGTTGGCTGGGCTGACTTTAGAGGAAAACACGAAATTCCATTACTGCCAGAACAACTAATCAATATATTTGAAGCACTTTTATGAGAATAGGCTATACGATTAAATGCTGACAAAATTAAATGCTTTTAAAGGGATAGTTCCCCCAAAATGAAATTTCTGTCATCATTTAGTCACCCTCAAGTTATTCCAAACCTGTATAAATTTATTTGCTCACCTGAATACAAAGGAAGAATACATTTTGAAGAATGTTTGTAACCAAGCAGTTTTGGGCCACCGTTGACTTCTACATGCTAAAAAGAAATACTAAGAACATCAATTGTACCCAAAATTGTTCAATTACAAACATTCTTCAAAATATCTTCCTTCGTGTTCAGCGTTAACAGAAATGTATGTATACAGGTTTGGAACAACTTGAGGGTGAATAAAAGTTATCCTTTCAGTTATCTTAAATAAGACAAAATTACTAACCTTTATTTGATTTAAAAAGTTAGCCAAGTACCGACCAGGAGTCCCCCTTTTGGCTTTAAAAAGGTCCATGAACCGTGGACTATATCTATCAAGGTTCTCGTAGAATTCCTGCTTTAGGTTTTTGCCAGTAATTCTGTTGAACTCCAAGCAGATCTGGGGGAGACAAGGGCAGGTCACATAATCACATCAGCATGCACTTATAGACATGCTTTAAATAATTAGGAAATAATAAGTAGATTTCTCAATCAATCAGAAATCTATCATGAAAATATTGTGGTGAAACTGACAAAGTTTGCCCGGGAAAAATAACCCACATGGTCTAAGCAGTAGCTAGCTGCCATGTTCTTTCTTGCACAGAAAAAAAGATGATCAAATATGTATGTATCTCACAGGTAAAAATAAGAAATAAGCTGTTGACATTTCAATAAATATACCATCACAAAATCATGAAGAAAATATCGTTAATTACTGTCGAGGTTGTCAAAGTTTGACCAGAAAAAAAAAAACATTACTAACGTTAGCTGCCATGTTCTTTTGGCGAGAAATACACGATTACACAATGATTAAGTTTATATTTTACTAATTAGTACTATTACTAATAAAATAAAGAATCGTTTGATATCGCAGTTATCATATCATCACAAAACCATCAATAAAATAACGTTAATTAGTGGCTAACGTTATGTTGGAAAAGTTTGACCAGGAAATATTGTAATTAACGTTATGGCTGCGTTCTCTTTTATTATAGAACCGTGCAAGGATTCAAATAAACATATTTAAGTTTTAAAAAGTCACACAAAATAACTTTATATCTTAATAATTGTACTTACCGAGAATGGTACACAAAGAAAAACTCCCGTCTTGAAATTAGCACAGGTGGTTTCAGCAACAGTCAACAGACCGACGATGCGAAAATCAGCAATTTTGTAATCCACCAATCAGTGCATTAGTTCTCTTGTTGCCAGGCAGAACTGCTCGCGTGGCCAATCGCATCAAAGGAAGACCAGAGAGACATTTTAATTAAACCGATTTGAAATGAATTTGATTTAACGTTCGCTGTATTTGTTATTTTGTATATTTTTTAATGAGACTTGGGAGGTGGCTGTGAGGAACTCTTTCATGCATTTTGGCACACAGTGTGGCATATGTGCACCTACAAATGAGCTTGTATTAAAAGGCTACTGAGTGAAAACCCTCAGTATTACAAAAACACTTCTATATGGGTATTAAAGTTTATTTATCAAGTTTAAAGTATCAGGTTTTAAAAATAAAAATCAGTTTATTTCCATTACGATCAATAATTGTAATATAATGAAAGCCATTTGTTTTCTGGTAAAATAAGAATGACACCTTGCACTTGAAGAAAGCATGTATGAATGTATTAATTCCACAGTCAAGAAAACAACCTTTGTGAAAATGACCTTTTGTAAGGATTAATCATGATTTTGAGCTCACAGCACTTGAAATCTTAAGTTTATGTATTTTGAAGGTAAATAAGTTATTTGAACTTATATTTTTGAGTGACAGAGCCAAAATGCAAAATTTTAAGTAATGTTTAGTCAAGTACACTTGATTGTTTAAGTAAAGACAACATTAGGGTTTACAGTGTGGCGACTCCCAGCTCACCCCTGCTCACACGCCCCGTTTCCTTGGTTAAAATCTCAATTTTCTCGCGATTTAAACATTGTTTGAAACATTTGGAATATTGTAAGTTATCACCTTAACTAAATATATAACACTGGCCTTGTGATTTTGAGATAATTGAATGCAAAAATCTTAGGTATTGAACCTTTAATGCTAAATCCTGAAGTATCCCTTTTAAGTGCTCCCAAGTGCTATTCCGCGATACATTATAGTTATCCATTTTACACGCTTAGAAAAGTGCCACGTTTTATTTTGTGTCACCATACTTGGTCGTGTAACTACTCGTGTAACTGTATTTAAATAGGGAAAACGTGGAGGTGTTTGGTCGCTTCTCTGTTTGGCCCGTAATGAATGAACTGGGCTAAGCTAAGTGCTAACAATTGCCGCGCACCCGAGCGATTGAGTGCACGCACTGAGACGAGAGAGGTATGTATCAACTTGTCTTAGTTAAGGGATAGTTTAATATGAAAAATGGTGGAGTCTTCCTTTAAGTCTTCATAAATTTAATATGTATTGATCTTCCTCAAACGAAACAACTGTGATATTTTATGAGGTGCTGAATTTTTTTTTTTTTTTTTTTTTGGTTTCCATGTGAAATGGATACAAATGACACAATAGGTCTTCATCTAATTTTTTTCAGTTCTGCTGTGATTGTCAATTAATAATTGTATTTTGCTGATGTATTTGTCATGTTGAATATTATGTTTTATGGAGACGATTGCCTTGTTTCTTTGTTCCTATTTTAGTATGTTTCTTTTATCTGGTGCTATTTTTTTGTTAACTTTACATCAGTCTTGGGAAAAACTGCCTTAAACACTTTTAAAAGTAAAGCCCACAACACTATCTTTTCTGAAACTCTAAAGATCTTTGTGTGTTTATGTGATAAACATTATTAAAACCATAATCCACTTAGTGGAATATATATATATTTTTATTAACCATTAATAACATTTCTTTTCCGTACAGGATTAATATTTATTTGCTTTTGAAAAAATTAATAACCCCAACACTTAGTTCCGCAGTTACTGTGTGTTTAATAAGAGGAAACAAAACTAGACAACTGTCTGAAGACATACAAATATAAACCTCATGACTTGAGCAACAAGCTGAAGTAAACAATAAATCCAGATTTGTTTTTACTAAGGAACAATGGGGAATTTGGGGAGAAAACTATTTATTTTTATTTTTTATTAAACAGTGGTTTACTGAACATATTGTGTTTCTGTCTTTAACAAAAAGATTCTTAAATATATCTCTGCTAATGCTGTAAACTATGTTGGGAGCCTTTGCACATTACTATAATATTAAAGGTTGACAACAGAGCCCAGTTTTTAGATATAATAATCAACACTAATAACAAACATGTAAGCTGCACATTAGGCAGTTTTTGCATTAACTTCTAAATCATATTATAAAATAGTTTTTACTCCAATTCGTTGTTGAAATATAATAATTTACACACTGGCTGTCATTTTCATGACAGATTTATTTAAACCTACATTAATAATCAAGATAGTAGAAAATGAAATTGTACTTGTGATGAAATGACACACTGACTGACACTGTTTCATGTTTAATACGATAAAGCTGATTTTAAGCAATCTATTGTATAAAGTGCTGTATAAATAAACGTGACTAGACTTCCATGTTGCAAACATCCAGTGTTGCTATGATGATCAGATGCTCTTCTCATGCTTGATTAAAATACTGTTTTCTCAATTTAAGAGTTGAGTTGTGTTTATTTTGTTATTGAGAGGAAAGCGCGCAGAATATATTTACCGTCGACCAATTCGTACGAATTTGTACGAGTGGCTAATTCGTAACAATTCATACGACCTGGCTCGTAAGAATTTGTAGGATTTTTGCTAAAATACTTTGCCACCTTTTAATCATTCGTACGACTTGGTCGTGAGATAGCGTTGTTACACCAGGAGGCGGAGACAAGCGAGCGACTCGTGTGTGAATCAGTGCTTTGTTCCAAATATAACCCTATATTGTCACAGTAAAATGTTAGCATAACAGATGCAATGGGTTACATCAAAGCAAATTTGTCCATTTCTAAAATATTTATGATATATAATAATCAATTATAATCAACAATCAGAACAATTGTTAGTGGTGAGATACAAAAAGTCCAAACAGAACGGTGATATCTCCACACTGAATTTTATTTCATTTTTATTTTTATTTTGGCCGACAATGTGTTTATCGTTATTAATCAAGACTGGACAGGTGAACCAACCCACACATGAAAAATAACAAAGATGGTGAGACTCTTGAACCTCAAAGTGGAATAAACATTGATAGCAGATTAATATATAAAGCCATTAAAAAATAAATGAAGATTAATATAGACGATTTAAATTGTTGAGAATGATAAATGACATCATTTACTGTCCCAATGTGTGAATATGTGCTTGATCTTGTTCAGCTCTTCTGGATCTGATGTCATAAACCAGAACAATGACAATAGCCACGCCCACCAGAGCAGAGAGGACCAATCGGATCACAGCTTCAGTAGAACCACAACAGTGGACAGAGTCTGAGGAATAAAAACATCAAACTGAGATCAGTTCGGTCAATAAACGCTAATATCAGACCTCAACTAATATTATCAGCGCTGCTGTACCTGCACATGTGTGACAGAGTGTGTTGATGTCCAGATGTGTGGTCTGGTTGCTGATGGGATTGTTCAGCACACAGCTGTAGGTGTTTTTATCCTGATATTCCACCTCCAGAGGTAGAGAGAGACTGATGCTGAGATCACACACACTGATGCTGGACAATACACTCATTCCTGCGTACCAGGAGAGAGTCGCACCACTCACATTACACACTGATGAACACACCAATGTACAATTTGATGATGATGATGATGAAGAAGAACATTATGAAGAGTTATGGATGATGACAGGAACAGGCAGACGAGCTGAAAAATGAGAGAATAAGAGCAATATAAAGACAACAATCAGATTATTTTCAATGTTGTGAATTGTAGTGAATCCATTTAATACAATTTGTGTGGAGTGTGTGTTTAGTGTGTTGATGATCACTGAATTTGTCTTTCATCTATAAAATGATGTAACATCTGAATGTGTAAACAGAATATGTGAACATTTGGACAAATGATCTCTACTCACCATAGACCAAAACATTAAATGATTTTAATGTCAGTTTCAATCCATTTATCTCTAGTTGATAATCTCCAGTATGTTCAGTTGTGGTGTGTGTGATGATCAGAGATCCAGTTTGATCGTCCAGCTTCAGTCTGTCTCTGAATCTCCCATCAGGAACTTCAGATGTGGAGAAGATTTGCTTTTTTTTTTATTTTTATTTTAGCTATGGTAGGGTTTTCAGCTCCATATTTCCACAGTATGTGGGCATTCATTTCAGTCTCTTGAGTTTTTAGAGTAACAGAATCTCCCTCCATCACTGACACTGAATCACCAAACACACCTGATGAACACACAGATTTACACAGATTACGGCCACTGATGGTTTATAAAGCCTAAAGCTGAAGTTTACATGTAAAGTTGAGAATATCCAAAACAAGCACAAAGACAAAACAAAATGTAAAATATTAACTATCAAATATCAACCTTATTGGTGCAGGATATCCTTACACTTTAATTTGTTTTAAAGTGTAGAGAACAATCACTGTTTAAAGTTTCAAAATATATTGATAATAAATGCATGATAATTATTGCAGATTGTAAGTTTTAAGTTATAAGTTTTCATTTTGCTGGTTATTTTAATATGTATTTTAAATAAATGAGATATTTTGATCACTGGATAGTCTGCCCTGTAAGTTTGCTGCACAGTTTCACTAGTGAATTTCCATGACATTTGTAGATTATTAGCCGCAGAAATATATATATATACAAAAAATGGCCTGATATTTGAAAGCTCAATGGAAAGTTCACACTTTCTGAAAATGTACATTCACTGTGGAGATTTCCATTATATCCATTACCATTTCCAGACCTGAAAACTTCACTGTAAACCTAATCCCAAGATAGATCTGCATTCAAAGTTAGAAGATCTTGTAATATGTTCATACAATATTCATAATTCTTTTGGTGCATAAAAGCAGATGAAAATAATTTAATTCTAATTTACACTGAAACGGAAAATAAAACAAGCCATAAAAATGCTTTTATAACTTACCAGTCAGACTCCAACAGCAAAAAAAGAACAAAACTAACATGTGAAACATT